CGATGCTGGGCCGAGGGAGGGAAGGAGGAGACGGCTCCGGGATCGGAAGAGCCCCGCAGCTTGCTGGTGATGGCATGGATCGGCCGCTCCTCCGGCAGCTGCGCTCCACGCCTCTCGGTGCGGTCGCCGCCCGGCATCCCCGAAGTGCCGCGACACGAGACTGATGCAGAGCTGCTCTCAGCAAGTAAGTTGCCTCATTGTGTTTGCTTCGTCGGCTTCCTTGCTTTCCTCTCTGGCTGCTGACAATCAGTAGTCCAGGAGGCAGGAGGCAGAAGGAGCTGAGCGTGAAGTCTCTGTGCCCAGCCCTGCCGGGTCACAGCTGGAGACGTGCTGCTGTCTTACTTGTTGGCTGCTGGGAGACCGTGGGAAGCTGGGGATTAGATGTGGATTTTGTGCAAAGGCACTGTCAGATGTAGCAGAGGTGTTATGTAGGAAAAGGCATCATAAATGATGGAGTGCCCCGAAAACAGATTAGTGGAAGTCGCTGGAATACAGCAGGTTGGAGCAGACCGGTCGTTGAACAACCCTGAGAGGCGTGGAGTGACAGTAATCCTAACCTGGAGTCAGGGATTAAATTGTTTTAGAATTAGGACACTTAGTAGCCAGATTGAGTTCAAAGAACCCTCACAGTGTAATACTCAGACAATGAATTGGCATGATCAGCCTTGAAGGGAGGCAGACCATTTAATGCACCGGGAATCTCGAGAGGCGTTAATTGCCCCGTGAACTAAAACCCCGACTCGTTATGTACTGACATTGAGCAAATAGTGCCCGGAGCCCGTGCTGTTGTGTTAATTCATGCTGCTGGGAGTAACATGCTAACTTTTATACAACATCTCTCCCATTTGTTTTTGACCTGAGAGTTTCAGAAAGCAATCAAGAATTGCCAGAAGTTGTCCCTGTTTCCAGAAGCTTGAAGCTACGTGGCTTTCTGAGGTTTGGTAATCAAGCAGGTCATCAGTGCACCCCTTTCCTTTAGAGAAACTGCCTTATAGTTACAGATGAGTGGTTTGGAGGGAAACAAAGCTAGCTCCTCTCAGCAGTTCTCTGAGCAGTCCAAGCAAACATCATCTGTGGGAACTGTGTTGGGGGAGTTGCTTCGTTTTTGGGGTCCAATTCTTTCCCCTATTGTTCCTCATCAGGTGGAGATAAGGAATCCGGTTCATTTTTGGTTTCCATCAGAGAAAGTTGTCCACCTCTGGAAAGTTCCAGCCTTGTTAGTTAGGCTCTGAAACAGGCAAACAGACTTTCAGATTCATGTTCTGAGACATATCTGAGGACCTTTATGAGTCACCCACTTCCTATTCACATGGAGGTTGGGAGAAACACTTGGTGCTTGGGATGATGCTGGCACTTGACCAGCCATTCGGTCTGAGGTAGATCACTTTGTCCCTCAGTGACTCATTTTCTCTTGTCTGCAGTTCAGCGGCACTGAGACCTCTTTGGGTGGAAGGAGCTGATATTTGGCCAGTTCATCTTGTAGCTGTTTGGCTGCAGGTTGCTGCAGAGGTGTGAGGCGGTGTTAGCATCCTTCAGTTTTGTTTCCTTTTTAAGCCAGCTGCAGGATTGCACAGTAAATGCCAGTTGTAATAACGGTGCAATATATGAACAATGGAGAACAGGAATGTTGGTGCTTTTGGAGCAGTATTTTCTCATAGAATTGAGGCTCTAGATACCCAGTACACACACAGTGTGCCATGGGTAGACAGCCAGGAACAGCAGTGTCTCATCAGAACAGGACTGTCTGTCTGTGTTCACTTGTGTTTGTCGAAAGGTAACAATCACTTTTGCAATGACACCTTAAGGTCTCCCTAAAAATAGTCTGGGGTGAAAGGACAGAGAGGCTGCAGAGTGCCTCAGGCACAGCAGCTCCCTTGGAGATGCAGAGATCAAATTGGTTTGTTTTCTGCATTTATTTGTTGATAAAGAATGTACCATTTGGCTATTCAAAATGGGTTCAGAACACCCAACAGCATAATATTATGAATCCATCCTTTGCACACAGACTTTTCGTGCTCAACTTGTATAACTCCAAGAGGTATAATTGACTGCTGACATCCTCCTCCCTCTGTGTTACATTGGGGAGTGGGCAGCCCTGGTGCTGTGGGAACTCCCTGTTCTGTAGCAAATTGCTGCAGCCTCCACACTGCTGTCATTACGACCTGTCCTGGAAGCCTCAAAAACAACACAGCCTTCATTTTCATTACAGTTTCAGTTTTTCCATCGTTTTCTGCATTGGTCTGAAGCTGATATACTGTGTGGGATTTGTTTATACGTACTGAGAGGAAATATCTGAAAACTGTAGCAAATCCGGAGAAAGAAAAGGTGTTTTCTTTTTCTGGAACTCACTTTTCCAGTTTTGAAAAAGTTCACAGTAAAGACAGCAGCATTATTATTTTTTTTTGCCATTAGGAATAACCAGGCCAGGTTATCCATGCTGGGAGATAAGGCTCTGTAGGCTTTTCCAAGTAATCACTGGCTGCACCAAAATGCAGGAACTGCTGCTGCTCTGCTGGGAGGTGAGGTGACTTCAGGCACACGCTGGGGATTTGGGGATCTGTAGCTGCCATTCCTGCCACAGGTCTCCCATTGCAAGAAGCAAGCATCTGTGTTTTGCTTCCCCATCCTGATAAACGGCAACCAGAACACTTCCTTATTGCACAGATATTAAATAATAATCCTAATAACAACAATAAAAATTAAGCACATTACTTGTAATGAGCACTGAAACATTTGGATGCTCTGAGGGCACATCACTACCTCACAAATGACAACAAAAAGGCTGAGGGATATTAGAACTGTGATTATTGCAGGGGAAAAAAATAGGCTGGGAGGTAATGAGCAGATGAAGATGAGGCACAAATGCCCATAAGCTCAGTCTTTGTGCCATAGTAACTTCCAACCCAGAGAGATTTCCTTACGAGGGATTTTGTTTTGAAAGAATGAACACCTTCTGCAGCTGTATTTCTGAGCCTAATGAACCCCAGGCAGACAGGTCAGCATTGGAGCTGAGTGAGAACGCGCCCCAAAAAGCAGTTATTGGGCTGAGGAGCATTGGGACCACGCTCTTATTAGTGAAGTGTCACAGATCTCTCTTGTGCAGTTTCCTAAAGTGTCCTACCTTGGTTTTGGGTAGCATTCCTTCACCTCTAGATCTCTTATATCTTTATATATATATATATATATATATATCTTTATATACATATATATATATTATATTGTCTTTGTATCCTCTATTTATTCATCTATTTCTAAGGAAGATGGTATGAATTGCACAAGATACCACTGGGGATCTGTTCAGTGTGTACTGCTGTATTGGTTGCTTCTTTAGCAGTGCAGGGTTCTTCATCTTGGGAAGCAGGTGATAGAGTGAAGTAAAATCCTGGCTTGGGGAAAGGGGAGGGTTGCTAAAGAACAGCTGCTCATTTATTCCCATGACATAAGGTGACACAGGCAATGGGTTTGAAGCAAAGAGCAGGAAGTGATTTTCTACCCAGACTTAGTGACAAATTCCTATATCCAAACTCCTATTGCCTGCAAGGTTAGACCTCTCCAAAGGCAAATCCTATCCATGCTGAAACCTGCGCTTACCCAAGTGAGATCAGCAATTATCTAAATGGAAAAAGTCACCACGGCCAGCAGGGGAAAAACCCCTTGCAGGCTTTGTTAGGTTTGCCTCCTGCAATGTCTTCAGCAAATTTTAATCACGAGCTCTTGGGACTATCAGGAGGTACATCAGCACTGTAGGATGGGCTTGTAGAGAGCTCTGCAGAACAATGCCTTGGAAGATATGGACTAACTCCAGTGTGACCCTGCTTCTGCAGAGCCAAGAGCCCAAATGTCGCTGCCTGCCCCCAAGTCTGTCTGGCTAAAGCTGAGCAACAGCCAGTCTGATAAAAAGCCTCTTTGCAAGGTTGATAATGCAGTGACTCACATCTTTTGCAGCTATCTGTCCAAAAGGAAAGCAGCTTTGTACGAATGTGACATTTTTATTATCCTAGCCCCATTTAACCAAAGATGGTAAATGCCAGTGAAGCACGATGGCGTGCGTGATGGTAAGAGGCAATTCTGTGTCACAGATCTCTTTGCTGGATGGAGGAATGGTTTACAAACTGAAGTCTAAATCTCTGTAAGATGCTTACACACAATTACCAGCACCTGGAAAAGATGTGTGTGCTTGATGGCAGTATATCATGCAGTAGAGAAGTAAACCAGCTCCTTACATAGGGACAGTGGTCCTCTTTGGTGTCTTGCCGTCCATCATAAAACTCCCCAGTGCAGTTGAACTAACAAGGGAATAATAGTGAATTTCCTATTAGATTTTTCTGCCTTGGATCTCACAGACTGTATCTGTATCACAGATTTTGCTGTTGGGAAATTAGGGAAGAAGGAGAGGCAGTGATTTGCTCAGAATTAGAGAATAAATACTGCAGGCATTCATAACAGAAAGCTGGATAGTCTTCAGGCCCCCAGACCTGTGCTCAGAGATTCATGTGCTTAATTATTTTCAGTAACCACATACTGAGTTCCCACTGCGATGGGAGAGCATTAAATCAAATATTAGCAGAAGTTGTAAGGCTGCTGCAGCTGTCAGTAAAGTTCATTTACAACAGGAATTTCGTTGCTTTAATGGAGCACTTGTGAGGTGCTCCTAAAGATTTCCAGACAGATTTCTCTTGACCTATTGCTAAAGATCAGTAGCATTAGAAAAGTGGCGTTGCCAGTCCCCTGAGTGTTTTAGTGTAAGCAAGTTTCCCTGTATTTTCATTAATGGGCAGTCCTTGTAGCTGCTTTCACCAGAGTGATATTTCTAGGGATTTAGTCCTTATGATTATTTTTATTCTACTCTGATCTTTTTAATATGTTTCCAGATCCTTTTGGTCTCTTGGGTATGAATCTGAAATATGGAACCTTACACTATAGATGAATGTCTTGAAATCAGTTGTTCTCTCCTTTGTAGTTTTAGTGTAAGTGAAATTCAGTTTTAATTTTAACTTCTATAACATTTTTTAAAATAACAAAATTCTTTTTAAGATTGAAAACTTGCAACATTTGCCTGCTTTCATACTTCTGCACATATATAGATGGATCCAAATCTTGAGTCCAAATGGAGTAATGGATCGATCAAACAACACAAGGAGCAAAAGTGATATTGCTGAAGAGGAAGCAAAGAGGCTCTCTGTATCAAATTCTTTTGAGATCAGTGATGGGATGCTTTCTCTCCTATTAAAAAGCAAAATGAAAGTTTCTGGTTGTTCTGACGTGCACTTGGCATAGGGCACTGCACGCTGCGAGGTGCACCCTTATGATCTCACAGCTCAAGCAGCCTCTCACACAGCATGTAAACAGATGTACACCAAAAGGCAGCAAAGAGCCACACCAATGTCTGTGGGGATTTGAATTTGTAAAAACTGGTAGAAAATGACTCGAGGAAATGTCTAAATCTGCTGCTAGCCAGCCCTGAGAGTCCTCTGCAGAGAAGGAATGTGAGGGCAGAGGTAGGGATTAATATCCTGCCCAAATTCTTGGTGATGCTGTTAGAGAAAGGGAGCAGCACAGTGCTGGGGTTACCTAACCGTGTCTATGATGTCAGGCAGTGGGCACAGCAAACCGATTCCCCGAGCTTCCCATCCCAGATACACGAATCCCTTCTGCTTCCCCTTCCTGTGACTGCACTGCCCCAGCCCTGGCTCAGACCCTTCCAAGCAGGCAGCTTTGCCAGCAGAAGGAAGCGCTGGGGCTGTGCTGCGGACAGATGGCCGGGCTCCCTGGTGGATGGAGCCAGCAGGGACGGTTCCAACAACAGGCTCTGGCTGTTTCAGAGGGGTAATGATTGATGGTGACTTGTAACAAGGGAGTAGAGCAGTTCTTTGCTGTTAACCAGACTTGGCTACAGCAGCATAGAAGTGGAGATTTGTTACTTCGTGTATTCATCCTGCCTCTGCTTCCTTCCTGCCCACCCTTCGTGCTTTTTAATTCTGAAAAGATGAAGCTACATTCCTCGTCCTTAAAATTATCTTTCCCAAGATACTCTTAATTGTATCTCTACACCTCTTCTTATTCACAGGCTCATAAGAAGATTAAAGATAGAGGGAGCAGTAATAGATTTAGTTGGATTTTAATAGGATTTGCTGAGGGCAATGCAGACAATGAACATCATAGAGAATATTGCTACCCTGTCTTTGATATTCCTAAGGCTTCTCAGGTAGTCTTTCACAGAGATTTTATCTGTGCCCTGCATTTAGAGTGGAGATTCTCATTTTTCTGTGGAGCATGTGTGGGGGTTTTTTTAGAGGTATATTGAATCATCTGAGTAAACAGGATGCTACATGATAACCAGCAAAAAATCATTTCAGACATCATTTTGTATTGTTTGTATCTGATCAAGCACAGTTTTGCATGTAGACCGCGGGGTTTTTAATAGCTGTTACATTTCTGAAAGTGTCTGCTGTTTGTCTGGCATCAAATGAGGTAGAAGAGTTCTCATCTATTTGGTTACCAGTAGGCATGGATCCATCAGACCCATGGACACACAGTTGAAGATGCTGAAATAAAAGCCTATTTCACCTCTGGAATTCAGGATCCCAGAATAATTTGTGGAAAGCAGTGAATATACCCAGAAGGTGAATCAGTACATCTGAAATCTGCATTATCCCTGGAGGTTCTTTACTCTGCTGACTGTAAGGGAAACCTTGATGAATAATTTAGACTTGTGTGAAATTTAGGTAGGCAGTAATGCAGAGAATTTCTGTGCATTTATAAGGCTTCTCTTGGTACCCCAGACCTGAGGCACCAGGAAACTCCAATCCCTTTTGAGAGCATACATCCTTACAGCTGTACTTTGCTTCTGGTTGTGATCTCTGGGAAATTTTGGGTCTAAAACAAAGAAACAAGTGAGCACCATGTAAGAAAAGTAAAGGAAAACCAAAAAGTTTCATCAAGGAAAACATCACCCAGTCCATTTTCATTTGCATGTTTCAGAGGTCCAGTGATGCAATAAGCGAGGTGGCAGGCAGCCTCATAGGGACTGTGTGCTATGGATCAGTATTTAACACCCCGTTCAGCACAACGCTGTATTTAGCAAGGGGATGTTGGCAGAGAAGCCCTTCAGAGTGCTGTGCAGAGCAGTACCAGGAGGGAAGGTGTGGCTCGAGCAAAAATCTTTCCCAGTGCAAAGTTAGCCTGTATCCAGCCCTGTGTCAGCATGCTTTGTCAAGGCAGTCTTAATGTTTGCACTCCCTGTGGTCCTGCTCTGTCTGTAGTGGTTCACACAGTATGATGATTTGGTGGTTGTCTCGATTCTCTCCCTCTGATCTTAAACTTCATTTCTTTATTCTCCCCCAGCCCAGCCATGGCCAGAGATTCTAGGATCTTCATGAACCAGGACATGGACATCGGAGTTGCATCCAGAGAGCCTAAGAAGATTCCCAAGCAGGCTCGGGATGACGTCCCCATCGCCACTGACAGAACCCGGCTCATAACAGCAGAAGGTAAGAAGCCACGGCAGCGATACATGGAGAAAAGTGGCAAGTGCAATGTGCACCATGGGAACGTCCAAGAAACCTACCGATACCTGAGCGACCTCTTCACTACTCTGGTGGACCTCAAATGGCGTTTTAATCTTCTGGTCTTCACTATGGTCTATACCATCACTTGGTTGTTTTTTGGGTTCATATGGTGGCTCATTGCCTATATCCGGGGAGACCTGGACCATCTTGAAGATGAAAACTGGATCCCTTGTGTTGAAAATCTCAGTGGATTTGTTTCTGCGTTTCTCTTTTCTATTGAAACTGAGACAACAATTGGGTATGGCTACAGGGTTATAACGGAGAAGTGCCCGGAGGGCATTGTGCTGCTCCTGATCCAGGCTATTCTGGGTTCCATAGTCAACGCGTTCATGGTGGGATGCATGTTTGTCAAGATCAGCCAACCAAAGAAGAGAGCTGAAACCCTCATGTTTTCTAACAATGCAGTGATTTCCATGAGGGATGAGAAGCTCTGTCTCATGTTCCGTGTTGGAGACCTCCGCAATTCCCACATTGTCGAGGCTTCCATCAGAGCCAAACTGATTAAGTCCAAACAGACCAAAGAGGGAGAGTTCATCCCCTTGAACCAAACAGATATCAATGTGGGATTTGACACTGGAGATGACAGATTGTTCCTGGTGTCACCTCTTATCATCTCACATGAAATCAATGAGAAAAGCCCCTTCTGGGAGATGTCCCGCACCCAGCTGGAGAAGGAAGAGTTTGAGATTGTGGTCATTCTGGAAGGGATGGTGGAAGCAACAGGTAAGCACTTGTCAAAGTCAGTCCCAGTTCTGAGGGAGAAAAGGGAGAAATTTCACTGAGATCATAATGGGGTTTGTCATTCTCTTGTGACTCATTCGGGTAAGGGATCGTCGTCTGATTTGGACAGTGATTGAAAGAGAGGTCCTTTAGCTGACACTGCAGTATTTGGGGTCACACAAAGGAGTTAGATGAAGAGCTGTCCATAATCAATTAGAATAGATCCATGGGAAAAAAAAAAGGAATGAACTGAACGAATCTTTGAGGTCTTGTGTGGTTCTGTTTTCTGTGATCAAAATTCATGCTGCAAATCCTTTTCCATTTCTCCTCAGTATTAAAAATTGGCTGCAACTCTGTTATTTCAGATACTGCTGTGGTGTTGCTACTTAATGGAGGCTATGAAGGAAGTGCCCCAGTATTACAATATCCCATAAAACAGCGTGTGCTGAAACTGGATGACTTGCACATGATGCAGGACATGTATTTAAAAAGCAGCTCAGAGAGGAAAAATACCAGCTGTTTAACAGCATAAAACAATTCTGTGCAATAGGCAGATCAGGAGATATGCTCAAGTGATTCCCAGTTTCCTCCTATGGGTGTATTTGTGGTGGGCAATGAAAGAAATCTGCTTCCATATAAAATGAATCTGGAAAAGCTGTGTGCCTCAGCCTTTCAAGGTGTGTAAAAGGGATGTGGCAGCGTGCCTCTCACAGGGTGAGAGGATGGATATCTGCACAGGCCCTCTGTGTCCTTCCCACTGCAGTGCATCCCTGTGGGGCACAGCTAATGGAGAAGATGCTTTTACTCTGGAGTCATACCTAAAAGACAAGGCGTAAGGGATCATTTTCCCACTTGCAGCTAACTCATTTATTCTAGGCATTGAGAAAGAGCCAACAGGGAGCAAGTGATTTTAAGCAGCCTGAGATGCTGATGCTCCCTTCAGGCAGGCTTTCTCAGCCTGGGGTTGGCAGCGTGCCGTGGTCAGATCAGGGTCCTTAAGGGCAATGGGGCTGCAGGCAGCAGGGAGGAGCAAATTGCTGTCTAGAGATGCGGGAGCCTAGAAAGACTCAAAGATACAGAAATGCTTTTATGAGTAATTTTGCCCTTTGGCATTTAAGGATTTTTGTTACAAGGCTGCTCTGAACCCAAGTATTTTTTCATCTTGTTGAAGCACAGGTTCTCTCTGAAACACTAACATGGGGTTTCTGCTTTCTCAGTGGCATCAGCATCCTGTCCCACAGATTCTGCCCTTTGCTTACAATTGATATGATCCCTTCCTTGTGATTTGTCCCTGTTGGTCTCAGCTGAATGTAAGGAGGAATAATCTCTCCAAATCCTGCGCCCCAGAATCTCAGCCCCAAAGATAGCAATCTAGAGAACTCTGTTCCCTAATATCTCCCTATAGTCATTAGTACATAGCAATAGGTGAGCATTTCTAACAGCTAATTGGTGGTTATGCAGATTGCACTGTGCTTAGGTTGGAGTTCTGTATTGTATGGGTGGAATTCATGTGGCACTGCTAGGCAAATATTCTTCGCCAGCAGAATTTTGTAGAGATGTGGCAAAAGAAGAGGGGGTGGAAAAGAATATTAAAGGGGAGGATTTGTAATGGGAGCTTATTTTGTAGCCTAAACAATTACCAGGTACTAGAACCACCTAATGTGAGCATGGAATGCAGTTCCTTGCATGTCCAAAGCCTCTTTCCTCATCACGCCGTGACAACATCCAATTCTGTTTCAACGGTACTGCTCTGCTGTCCTCCTATGAGAGCTCTGGATGTGTGTGAGGGGAAGTCATTATCAGCAACAACCTTAATATTAAAAGCATGGCGTAGGAATAATATTACTTTACAAATGGGCTCCTTTCCCAGAGGGATTGTACAGGCCTGTATGTAATGATATTAAGGAACAGACATCTGTGGAAATGATTTGTTATGGTCTGAAAGACACGTTGTGAAATTTCAAAACTGGGGCTAGGAGAGCCAGTTTGCACTGGGCTTAGAGCAGAGTGGGAGCAGACCTCAGCTGATGGTGTGATCTGATTCAGAGGCTGAAATGGTTTTCTGAATGGCACATGGGTGATGTTTTGTCCTGGTGAAAGTGGTGAATTGTGGAAGCACAGTGTTTCTGGTTCCCTGCTTTGTCCTTACTCTTCATAATCTTGATTAAACCCATTCTGGAGACTTTCACTGTGAAGACCCTCCCTTTGTATCATAACTTTTGCTCCTAGAAAATTCTTTTGGTCCTTTCCCTCCTATTGCCCAAGCCTCATCTGCTTTCCGGAATGGTATAATTTACCTGCAGTGCCACTTCTATTAAATGATGGCACCACTACAATCTGTTCAGGTTTTGGACAGCAAGAAAACACAGCAGGCTGCTTGTTCCCTTAATAACCCCCTATTGGGGGGGCTATTAAGAACACCCAGCTCTGCTCACGGTGCTCTAGAGCAGGCAGGTCCTGCGTGCAGCCTGGGGGAGCTCAGCTCTGCAGTTTGTTGGCAGGAGGGAAAACTAATGGAGACTCCCCCAGTCTGTAGAGAACAACAGCCATACCCTGCAATGGTGGGGGAAGATGGCTGTGTTCGGTGAGGAGTTTGGGAAGGGGGCCAGATCCAACTGTGCTGTGATTGTCAATGTGTAAATGACCAAAGGAATTCTGAGCATCATCTCTGAGTGAATAACATTCAGTGAATAATCGTTGAGGAGAGCAATTTCATTGCCACAGCCTGTAGTTTTAGATAGCCACACGTTGTCCAAGAAATGCTTTGTCCTGCTCTCAGACAGGTAACTCTCTTACTGGCATTAAATTCCTATTCCATGGAAGGCAAAGACAGTAAATAGTTTCAAATAAAAAGTGATTATTTGTTTGTTTGTTTACAAAGTGAAACATGGTTTAAAAGAACGCATCTGTTTTCCACTGGGCTTGGATTTTTCAATAGGTTAAAGAAACTGAGGGTCACCAGCACACAGGAAGCACATCAGCCTGCCTGAAATGCTGGGTTTTCCTTTGGCTGGTGAAGAAAATAAACATTTTATTAGTGAAGTGAGAGTTCTCCAGGGACCCGCAGCCATTGCACTCCCACCCTGTGCAGACAGCTGCTGCTCAGGGCCTTTCCAAGCACTATTTCAGTGTGGCTGTGGCACTGTGACTCCACAAGAGGTTAAGAGCACCAAAGGGAGGCTGCATTTCTGGGCAGATCTGTGGTGATCGTTGCTGAGTGAAATAACCACTGGAGGGACAAAATCAATATAGATGACAAGAGTTCTGACTTCACTGCTGCTTTGTGGGCATCCTGAAAGCAGCAGCTCTGCTCACAGTGCTTGCTTAATGAATTGGTCATAGAGATTACTTTAGGGAATTAATTCTCTCATGCCATATCTTAAAGAGACACTCGTCCAGCTGGCCCAAATTTGACCTGCAATAAAAGGAAAGAGAGCAAAGATAGAAAATCTGTTTGCCAAGTGAATACATTTTTGCTTTCACTGTCTTTCTGCTTCCCACAATGGCAAGAGAAAATCAGAACCATCCTATTGACAGAAGGGGGCCAGGCTGTTGTTGGCCATGTCTTGGCCTTGCCCTCCTGGTACTTCATATCAACCAGGGCTGCCAGGGTGTGCAAACACAGTGGGAATTCACAAACCTCTTCCATGTGGTTGCAGAGTCAGCTGGGCTGTGTGGTGAAGAAATGGCATAGGAATAGATTCCATTTAAAAAAGCAATGTCACCATCATTCCGATTGATGACATGGTCTACATACCAGAGAAGATCTCTTCTCTTCCAGCTTTGCCTTTCTGCTGCTATTTAGTGACAACTAACCAAGATTAAATGTACCAGTACCTGTCCTGTAAACCTAATTCTGAGTCTACAGTGTCCAGTGTTGCTCACATCTGGGCATAGAGACATTGGTGCATTGGTGTTTGTCACATCACCCTTCGTCTTCACTGGTTTTTGCTGCCCCTTCTCCCCACCTGCATTAAATACCACACAGTCGAAAGACCTGACTGAACAAAATTATAGTAAACACCTGGAAAGGGGAGGTAGATACATTTCTGACTTACAGTCTACATAAGTAAATATATATGTATGTAAGTAATCAGCCATGTGCCAGGATTCTGCATCTCAGCTCCTCATCCTGTCCCTGTGGGAATGCGGCCCTTTTGCATCTCAAACCATCCATCTTTACAGAGGATACAGTCGAATGCTGAGGCTTTATATGTAGGAGAAAAAGAAGCAGTTGCGACATAATACATTCTGAAATTAGTCATGATTTTCTTGGGAGAACAAAGGAAGGCTGAAATAATAAGTGGATTTCTCATGCGTTCAGCATCTGGTTTGGGTTCTCTTTTTGTTTTGTTTAGCATTTTGCATATAAATACATTTTCTCTTCTGCAAGAAAGACCTTGCAGAGCTGTTACAGGCAGTGCCTATATAATTAAAGGCAACAGATAGACACACCTGCAGTCGTTGCTCTCACCACCCACACTGTGCTCCATGGGCAGACGTGGGCACATCTCTTCTCTTAGATGTCCCTGCAGTCACTATGAATGCCTCTGTGAAGGGTCTGCAGCTATGGGTGTACCCAGGCCTCAGGTTCTGCCAGGCAGAGGGAAGGCCATCGAACTCAAGGTTTTCAAATCACAATGCCCTTTTATTATTTTTTTTTCCCAATGCTTGGGAGCTTTTCCATACCTGGAGAGCATTCAGAAATATTAAAATCCTATTACTCTCCTCTGGCATAAAAATCAAAGTGAATCAATCGTGGACATGTCCTCTTCTCAAAGAGACAAGCACAGATAATCAGAGGGCCATGCTCCTACCTTCTAATATTCCTTTTGAAGTTGGAGGAAAACTGACTTATTGGAGGTTGCAGTGTTCCTCGGTCTAATTAATGCAAAGGGACTAATAACTTTTATAACTATCCAAATGCTGATGCTAATTCAAAGACATGAATTTCTTAAATGGAGTGATAGAAGTAAATTTTTTATAGCTACTGCTTGCCATCAGTCTGCTGTTAAAGCTCTGAGCCCATCAGTTCTTTCTCTGTACCCTGGTAGTGCAGCTGGAGCTCAGCTGAAGCAGCAGTCTGCACTGTGCAGCCTCAGTGCACCTGGTACAAGGGGAGAAATCAGCGTGTGCACAACAGCACATGAAGCGGGGGCCAGAGAGGTGAAATCACCTCCAGCAGTGTCTGTGGCTAAACTGCAGAGAGAGCAGAGCAAATACAGCAAACATGCAGTCAGCATCCACATGACGCGCTGCCAGCAGATAATCACTGAGCCTCGTGGCATTTAAATGAGGAGAGTTAATTTTAGGCTGATGAAAAACGTTGTCTTGACAGCCCCAGGGGTTGGGATGGCTGTACCCGCTGAGGAAGTCCAGGCTGTGTAACAGTGCCAAACGATTCAGCTCTGCTGCTGATGCGATCCGATGGAAGCCTGCAGCCATTTCTTGGCTGGTGGGTCGTGCTTTGTGGTCCTCCTGCCCTCTCCTGTGAAACTGCCAATACTGGTATAGGCTGTGATGGTACATGTAGGGAAAAAACGACCTCTGAAGTTGCAGGGAGATGGCTGGCTCTTCTCTGGGCACCCAAACAGCCGCACAGTGCAGTTAGATTTGGCCCACGATAATGAAGTTTGATTTTAACTGGTGACTTAAGGGTAAGTAAGGCTTGGAAATCTGGAGTGCTTCTCCTGCAGCTTTTCCCCTTTCCATAGCAGTGAGGCAGAGCCAGCAGCCGCTGCTCCACTTGCATAATCAGTGGTGTTGCAAGCAGTGAAACGTTCTGAAATCTGCAGCTCTCATTGAGTGCATTGCAGAAAATATAGGCTCCTCACTGAGAGAGCCACCGAATAACTGTTTTTTGTCAGCATGTATTTACATGCCTTTGTCTTTGATAAAATGTAAGGTGCTTGATCCCTATTGATTTTGATGACAGAAAAGTGCCTTTTTGGTAGAGTTCCCTGATGCCAATTTTACACAGGAATCTTTCCTCAGTGACCCCATTCTCGAATGTAATGAAACACCTGGTTCAACACACACTGCAATATATTTCACATCTTTTCATTGGCTGCAAAGCAGAAACAAACCCTTCTGAATGCATGCCTGGCTGCTGTGAACAGGAGCATGCGCAGACCCCATTGGTGATCCTGGTCAGCAGAACCAAAGTCCACTCCTTAGGGTTCCGCTGTAATGAAATGATCATTAACACTCTATGAAATGCTGAATGCAGAACTTGGAACCAGGAGGCCCTTCTCCGGTCTCCAGCTATCTGAAAGGACTGGAGCTGACTCCAGCTTTACTGAAATCTTGGTGCGTCTGCTTGTAACTTTGTGCTTCTAACTTTTATCTGGTTTCAGTTCAAATTCAGTTTTGTTTGCAGTTGGAAGCTGAGCTCTGAAATGAGGTGGGTGAGGGAGGTGGAGCTGGAATTCAAAAAGTGAAAATTTTGCACATTTACACAGATGGCAGGCAGTACAAATTTATAGTAGGAATACTTCCTCATTTTGAAACCAGTTTGTTTAGGAGAAAACTAAACTTTTCATGATCCTGGAAAAATCAATATGCGTGGAAAGTAAAAATCACTGTGATTTTTTTTTTAATGTAAGTTTTGAAGCACATCTGCTTATGCTGACAAAGGGGAAATGAAGATATTCTTTGGCATGAAATGAGTTTGAATGAAATGCCCCAGTCACCAAATATTGCTTCCTTCCTTCCCTATAACTATACTAAATATCCACACCATTTAAACCTAAAGCATGTAATTATATCTATTTTAAGAAAAGCATTAGCAGCGTTATTCAAGACCAAGTATCGTACTAGGATTATTTTTGCAAGAAATCCAGGGTTTTTAGATCTCCCCCCATTTATTGCATGCACTCTGCAGGGCAGCAGCACTTCAGACAGCTGCAGCAGGAGCTCACAGGGCAGGGCTGCTGCAATGGAACGGAATGGCAGAGGCCCACTTGGCGTGGTTCTTGATGGATGTGAGCATAGGATGTAATGATTCACTTCACCCATGGACTTGGACAGGCAAGGCTGGTGAAGTAGAACTGCTGGTTTTTGTGGAGAGTGCAGAGCAGTGCATGAAAGGTGTGAGCCTATTGAATAAATCAGCCCCACTGCAAGACTGAATTGGACATCTACAGCACAGAAGGCAGAGTGCACGTTGTATGCAAATGGGAGAAGGCTGCATCCGTGTGCTGTTAATAAAAGCAAGGTTTATTGTTTCCACACCTCCTCTGTCATCTTTCTGCAGTTACAAAGGCAGTGATTAGCCGGGGACATTACAGCTGCATTAATTAACCAGGCTGAAGAGCACAGGGCAGTTTGCAAAGCAGGCACTTAATGGAATTTGAGGCAGAGACAATGCTGTTGTTTACTGGGTAATGTAGGAGTTGCCAAGCAGTATGTCCCCACGCAATTAAAATACCACTGCACATGTGCTAAAAAGGAATATTTGAATGGGATTATGGAGCAATTACAAGTTGTCTTATTGTGCTGGCTCTGCGTACCCCTGGGGTTACAGAAAGCAGCTCCTGCAGGAAGCTGGCAGCGAGCAGTATTTGGTTGATGAAAGCTTTCTATTGTTCCTTCCTTAATTGAATATTTACAACAGGAAATAACCATGATCCTGTCTCTGGAGTTCGGGTTCACTGTCAGGTTCTCCCCCAGTGGAGGAACTATTTCAGGCTGTGATTACAAGGCAGGGGTTCCCTTTGGATGCCTCAGACCCCTGCATTTAGCAAAGTCATTCTTTCTTGGCCTGGGTTCACAACACCATGCCTGTAGGCAGCTCCTGAAAAGCCATGGTAGAAGTCAGCCTGTCTGCTCACAGCTCCTAGCCCTGTGAGTATCAGTGGCCTCTTCTGCATTCCTGGGCTTTGAAAGCACTCGGTAAGAGGCAAGTAAAGTCCTCAGCAGATCCTGCTTGTGCTCATGTCTTTATAGATTGCAGCAGCAAAACAAGAAGCAAACTTCAGACTGTTCAGAGGTGGCTTTTTGAAAGGATAAGTTTTTTGATTACTCTGAGACTTCATCAGTCCATAGAGCTCACGTGGTGAGAACACATACGCTCTTTCCTGAAGCATCTGACACCATTATTTTCCCCCCGTGCGTTGGGCTGCAGGAGGTAGGCTTGGAAGCATTGGCTGCAAACTAGATCAAGTGCATGTTTTGAATGTATTCCAGTCAGGGCCATCACTCACACTCCAAAGGAGAACAGTGGGAGGGCTTTGTGAGGTCAGCATTTCTACATTTCACCAGAATGAAGAGCAAAAGCATAACACGTTCAGGATGAGCAGATGACAAATGTTTGGAACAGAAGTCAGCCTTGGCTTCTCAATCAGCTGGTGATTTCAGAGGAGGTCACTCCAATGCTGAATCCTTATCTCTGCTCTGCAAAGCCTCTTTCAAAGTTTTCTAAGCACATAAACAAACTCCAATCCTTGGGGCTGAGAAGAAGCTGGACAAAATCAGTTTCATGTTGCCCATTGTTCATTCATTCCATTAAGAGACTCAGTTCAATGTGCTTACAAGCTTGACTATGCGATGCTGTGTGTTTTGATTCAGCCAACCTATTATAGTTGGATCGAACTCTCCAAAGGAATATGTAAGCCAGCATGCCATGTGGGTCGCATCAATGGGGCAGGGGGCTGTTCCTCCTTACAGACTGCATCACTTGGTGTGCAGGGGGAATAGCTGGGAATAGCTTGAGAGGGACAGCATGAGACAGAGTGGGAGTGCAGATGACTTAGGCAGGGCAGCTGTTCATCCTCCTCGGGGGCTGTGTGGGTCAGGATTGAAGTGCACTGGTGGGGTTGTATGTCATTCTAGCACGTGATTCATCAGAAATACTGTTAGTAGCAGCCACACCAGGAAGCAGCACTTCGACAGAGAAATGTGAGGACAGAGAGAAGCTGCTTAGTGCTACCAGACTTCAAAGCCTTAAGTGCAGGTTTCAGGAAGCAGTCTGAAGATGCGGCGATGAGTTCACTCCTTTTCCTTTGAGAGCTCAGCTTTTTCATGATAGAGGCTTTTATGAGGCTTATTAAGCGAAGACTTTGTCTGTGTCCCAGAGCAATCAGGTATGGAAATAACATGAAAGTGCTTTTAAATGAAAGAAGTGGCTGGGTGAGCATGTAAGGAAGCTTTGCATTTAACATCCCTCTCTTTCCACCCAGGGATGACTTGCCAAGCTCGCAGCTCCTACATGGACACAGAGGTGCTGTGGGGACATCGCTTCACTCCTGTCCTCACCCTGGAGAAGGACTTTTACGAAGTTGATTACAACAGCTTCCACAGCACTTACGAAACCAACACTCCTGTGTGCTGTGCCAAAGAGCTGGCCCAGTCCCGCCGGGAAGGCCAACTCCTCAGCAGCATCTCCAGTGCCACTGTCCTGGGTGGAGGCAGAGAAGCAGAGACGGTGAAAGGGGAGGAAGAGGAAGAGGAAGAAGACAGGGAGCCAGCAGCATTCAGTGGAGCCAATGGGACAGCGGGAGAGGTGAAAGAAGATCTGCCTGTATAACACGTGAGCTGCTGGGCAGTCAAAACCCACACACACAGCAAGTGAGGAATTGACTGGGAGTCAGAGAGCTGAGGTTTATATCCAGATCTCTGTTCCTGCTGCTTGATCCTGGCGAGTCACTGCACAGCACTGTGCCTCAGTTTCCCTCCCCTTTTAACTGTATGGCGAGGTCCTGAGCTTTGCTCTCATTTGCAAAGCATTTGGATCTCTGTGGACAAGGCTCACTAAATACAATCACGGTTAAAATTGAAATCCCCACCAGTAGTTGTTTCAAAAGATGTTTATTGGACATTCAAAACGTATTTCCCCTTGCAAGGGTATTTACAAAGGTAAAGATCTAGAAGCTCCCATCTCAGTATGAAGAATGTGTTTTCATGCCTTCACTTAACTTGTGAGTGGATGTGTTGTAGATATTGTTACTGCTTAATTAAAAGAAGACCAAAAAACCTCTCCTGTACATCGTGGAGTTTTTGTTTTGTGATTTTTGCAAATAGAGCTTAGTTGGTGTTCTGCTCCAAGACCACAGAGATCGTTGTTTATTTCTTACAAAACAGGACAGCTTTCCCTGCAGATCTTAGCAGGTTTATCCAATGTTTTTTTTTTTCTATCACACCAGTGTGTCATCTTTGTGCACTCTTCTTATGGAACTACTGATACATTTCACAGTCCATCCACAATGAGAACAGATAGATGCTGCCCCAGTAAAGGTTTCTTTTCTGGCTGGGTGTCTCATTTCCAGTTGATTATTAAAAAAAGATATGTAGCTACCTGGGAACTTGAAATGAATTTCACCTAGAGTTCCTGGAGTAGGTAGACCGGGTAAGTAAATTTGCCAAACTCTCTTCCATAAAATGCATGCTTACAGTAAGGGTTTAGATGCTGATGTTCCTATAGCTAATGGGAACACGTGCTGACATAAGCAAAGCCATCTGGCCCCCACTAGTGCAAGCATGCTGGTTGGTGGCTGGCCCTGCAACGTTCTCCTTTCGTGATGTAGGAGGTGCAAGAGCACAGAACAGGATTAACTAAAAAGATAAGATAATAGGGGGAAAAATAGGTAAAATTTCCTAGAATGGCTTGTCCTTTTTCTAAGATCCTCTCTTCTCACTCTACCTCTGCCTCTGCAAAGATTTTTTTTATATTCCAGAATGTTTCATTCTGTAGCTGAAGTGAACTCCTAATGTAGGAGAGAGTAATGGAAAGTAGAACTGTGACTGATCCATGTGAGGCAGAGGCAATTTCAGCCCCTCAGAGGGAGGTTATATAAGCTCTAGCCGGTGAGCTAACTTGTCCAGTTCAATTCAGCATGAGAGAGGGCTGGCTGGGTCCCCTACATGATGCCAGAGATAGACAGCTTGGAAAATGGCACTGGATTGCATCTGTACCTTGCTTCTTCTACCTGTGTGATACCCTCCAGAGAGAAGCTAGCCATCTTCAAATTGCCAAAATGCTATTTCACCACTTCATTTCCCCTGAGATCTCATCACACAAAGCTGCTCTTTTCCAGTACTGTCGAGTCTGAGAAATTGTATATCCTACACCTTAGGAATTTTTGTCACTGAACATTATTAGTAGCAAAATAATTGCTGAATGTATAGTTGGGTGTGTGTGCACATCCATTACAATGACTGAGAGTTAAGTATTTCTTCTTGAGCAAAGCCCTTATGCAGCTGTGTGTCTCTTGGCTCCCTCAGACTGTTCCTGCATTTGAAGTTTGCACATAGGCCTAAGCACCTTGTTGAAGAGATGCTTCAGTGTCAGTGTGAGCATGCACCTTAGTATTCAGTACATACAAGGAACCATACTTTCCAGTTGCATAGCAGACAGTCAGGTATGTGGGGGTTGGGTCAGGCAGTCTGGTCTTTGCCTTCCCAAAGCATCTCAAGCCAGCCCATGTTCTCCTCCTGAGCTGCATCCCAAACAGAGGTTGACTTCATTGAGCATGTTGAGTTTTTCTGAAAGTGAGAGAAGTGTCTTCCTTCATGCAGTCATAAAGGTAAACCTCGTCTCTCCAGCAGGCAAATCTATGTGCTCAAATTTTTTATGTGCTTTTCCAGCACAATACAGTACAAAAAAATGGAAGTCTCAGCAGCCAACACTGATTGAAGTAGTTTGATTTCAGGTACACGTTTCTTTCCTGCAATCTTTAATGAATGTTTCTGAGCAAACAGAAACTATTTCTTGGCAGGATAGATGGGAAACACCTTCCTAACACAGGACAGTTGATGAGCTGTGAATGGAGACAGGGAAGGAGAGCTGCTCACAGTAAAGGCTTTGTTGTTCAGCTTGGTTTTGTTTGAGGGCTTGGGGCTGCAGTGGGAAGGAGACCTGCAAGCCCTCATCCTGTGCATCAGCTGCTCTCCCAGACCACATCATCCAACTGTTCTGCTCTTGTGCAGTGTCACAGTGCTCTTACACAGCCCAGCTGACCTGGATGTCTCCATTCACTGCTTCCTCCTGCATGACTTTCCATATTTAAGTGCACTAAGACTTTTGGTTTTTACTGAACTGTGTTTCTTAGATTGATGTGAGGATGCATGGACATTAAAAGTGCAAGTGTTGGCATTTGCTTTCTGGGCATAATCAACAGAAATGTTGAAATGTACCTTTATTTTTCATTTGAGCTTCCCTGGCTTTAATTTTCACTCATTGTGAGACCTGTCACTCGTTTTTATGCTCAGATTTACTCCTTTTATCATTTTCTCTCATTCATTATTATGAATATATTTCCATCAGAAGTAGCGGATCTTGAAGCAGAGATAAGGGGAATGTTATTTATGCTCAAGTAATTAATACCTTGTCATAAGCTCTGCACACTGCCAGCCATATCTGCTGCAATACAGGAGGGCACGTTGCCAGAATGCGTTAAGCAGCAGTTTTGGGGATGATGGAGAGGACACTTAATGAGGTTACAGGGAAACTAGGCAAGCTCCGAGTCCATGCATAAAAGTGACAGCAGTTTCCATTTTGAGGCCAGCGACACAGAGATAAGTGCTGAAAGTCTGATTCTGATGCTCCCACTGGCACCATTCAGCCCAGGGATAACTGGTCGCTTAGGTAGGTGCGAGGAGTGGGAAGCAGGAGCATCTGTCTGGTGGCATTTTGTTATGTGAAGAAGTCAAGGGCAAGTTCCAATCTCATTTATGCCAGGGAGATGGGAAGACACTCTGGTGGAGCCTGGTGATCCCTTTGTGATGCCAGCATACAACAGAGCAGTGCTCAGCTCTGAAGGACCATTGGCTGTGCTTTGGAGAGGAGGGCTGCACGTCCAGGTGTTACTGTGTGCAGGCAGATGCATACAGAGGTGGCTATTTTTGAACAGCACATGCTGTTGGAATTACTCTTGCTAAAAAGTAAAGCCCTGAGAAAGCATCAAACTCATGGTCCTGGTTGATGAAGATGCTGGGGTTCATATCACAAAAACCTGATATTCAAGTATATTCTTTCTAAATTCTACTTTGGTCCTCCAATCCTGTACGGATTTACAGCTCAGTTAACTAAATGCAGGTAAAGCCAAAGGTTACTAAAAAATACTATGAATCCGTGGTTCTATCCCATAGTGGAAGCAAATGCCTCCCCCTTACCTGTTACCCAAACACTCAGCAGTGCCTGCAAAGGAGCGTGTGCTGCTAGCTAAGCAGTTACACTGACTATTCCCATTGTTTGAAAGGGAAAGAAATGCACCATAGGAACTCCTAGAAATAGGAAAGCCCATCAGATGAAAAACCTCATGAGAATTAGGATGGCAAGTGTAGCCATCCATATTCATGCAGATTTATCACTGAATGAGGAAAAAAAACTCGCAGGAATGGGAAAAGTAATGATGGTGAATGCTATTCAGTATTCCTACCCCCCATGTGTTGTTCTATCATGTGTCCATCATTTTCATGCCAAACAAATGAGCAGTACAATCACTACTGAATTCACGCCCCATCTGCCTCCCTCGCATTCGGTAGCAGAGCTCAGCTGTTTCTCTTCCTCCCAGAATAGAAAGAGAAGAAACAGATGCCAGGTGCAGGCAGAGAGAGCCACTGCCCAACCGACCCTTGAAGGAAGGCCAGGAGGGGTTTGTCTGGATGGGATGAGGCTTCTCTTCGCTGCCAGGCTGAGTAGAGACAGACTGCATGGCTGAAACAGCACTCAGATAAGGAGAAGGGAGTGGGTCTGCAGCTCCGAGGACCCTTCAGTAACACAGATGAGAAGTTTTTATCACATTTATTCCATGATGTCAGGTTTTATTGAATCATAGTTGCCTCTCTGCCTTGTGCTTCCCTTGCCTGTTTTTTCTGCCCATCTGCTTTCAGGCTCCTTGCAGTGAAACCGAGAGCTGTGGCGTGCAGGACTGCTGCTGTTGTGTCTGCAGAGCAGCCAGCAGGGCTGAGTCCTGCAGTGATTCCTGCAGCACACATGATAGACCACCAGAATAATGAACTGAACAAATAACTGGTCCTTGCTGGTATAAATGAACAGCTAGCCTTGAACAAACTGCTGTGCTTCATTATGTACAATATCAAAGAATGCAGCATAATTGATGGCTAAGGCAATAGGCTGCAACCCAGAGAACTTGTGTTTTATCCCTGGCTTCCACTGACCTCCTGTACAAATCAGTGTGAGGCAGTGCTTACATGTGGTGCTTTGTTTGTCATATCTGTGTAGGCTGTGGTTCAGGAAGACCCACAAACGTCCTGAATTTCAAGCTGCCTGATTTTCCAAACTAAGGCTCGATGGCTGCAATTTAATTGAAACAGGAGCTACAGTTTATTCTGTTGTGGGATTTGGGATACTGTCACAGGGCATCAAATAGCAACGGGTGGGTCATGCTTGTGATTTCAGTCTGATTGCTGTGGTCACTGATGGAGACAAGAACCAGGTAAAACTTCAGAGACACAACACTGGATGGCTCCCAAGCTGTGTCCCCACACTGCGCAGCCCCTACAAGCAACGCATTCATCTAGTGCCTTGTTTTGATGGTTGATGCAGGATGCATGTTGTGCTGGGAGTAAGGGCAGTTCCTGTTCCTGGAATGGTAATCGTTCCATTTACATAAAACATATTCATTAAACTGCCTGAGCACTTGTACCCCTCGATGAGTTCTCTCCCTCACCACATCTTGGCTGCTTCCGGCTTTATTTATGGCCCTCCTGACCTTTTCATTACTTGGTCTCTCATGGATCCTGTCCTCTGTATGTTACCACATCAGTTTTTCTTGTCCTGTTTGACATTTAATTTTTAGTGACTGTAGCGTAGATGAAGTTGTTTTTCTTTGTTTTGCACACACTGTTCTGCTGCTCTCTAGGCTGTAGAAACTGTCGCTGTAGAAACACAAGGGGGAACTTACTGCCCTGAAATTTTGAGGTTTTTCAGCAGCAAACTGAAAATTAAAGCTGGGGGTGAGTCTGATAATGTCCCCGTGGGCTGCTGGGAATGACAAAGTGGGTACATGAAAGC